AAAGTTCAGTGCCTCTACGGTGACCCTAATTTCTATCACAACTTGTAATTTCAACTGTGGTACTGTGGTGAAGATCTTCCTCAAGTTTGGTGTGACTCACAGAATTCATTGAAACTTGTTAAACTCACTGTTTCACTGTTACAATTCATGACAACTAAAACATTCAGTTTAAAATTAGCCCAGAGCAGAGGCATCTATGGCCAAACCTAAAAAGATCAAACTCCAAGCTCTCAGTTTCCATTCCAACAGTGTTTATGGATAATGCTCATGTTTCATGTAAAAGTATTCATGGAATATTTTTTTTTTTTTGATTTTTCGAGACAGGGTTTCTCTGCAGCTTTGGTGCCTGTCCCGGAACTAGCTCTTGTAGATCCGACTGGCCTCGAACTCCCAGAGATCTGCCTGCCTCTGCCTCCCGCGAGTGCTGGGATTAAAGGTGTGCGCCACCACCGCCCGGCTGTATTCATGGAATATTGCCAACCAGGAAAACTAACATGTACTTTTACATAAACACCAAATAGTTTCTATTGGACATGAACTTTGTAGACATGAATGATAGCCCTCTTCTCATGGTCTTCAACAACTGTAGGGGCTGAGCTAATAAATATAAAATGACACAAAGCACCTCATCCCCAATACATCATTATATCTTTTCTTGTTGGTCCAAAGCATTTGCTTAAGTAAAATGCTCTTTCAAGAAAGGATATTCTGGAGTGTTAGTAGTACCCCACAGGAGCCAGTAGCAAAAGCCACAGATTCCAACAATAAAAGTGAAATTTGAGGTCTGTGGTTTGGGTTAACAGTCTGGTAAGACCTCTATATGGAAGTTTGAAATACATAGAAAGTGTATTGGTTAGTTATTTTCTATGTTATCTGCATTGAACATAAATACTTCACTCCAAGGAAACAGTGATATATGTATGTGGGTACTTTTTATTTTTTATACTTGGATACCTTGCTTATTTGCTTATTTTTATAGCATTAACATATGTTAAAATATATTTTATGAGTGTACATACCTTATTCAGTTCATTTTTTTTGAAAAAGTATTCAGTTCATTTTGAAGCACCAATGTACTCTAAAGTTTTCTAATAAAAATAACCCATCAAAAAAAAACTATTTGCTTTGTCTTCTCATGTATTGTTTTCTTTTCTCAGCTTGAACAATGAGAAGATGATGAAACACAGAATCCAGAGTAGTCATATTTCACATTGTTAATTTTAAAATGCATTTTGTGGGAGTCTATCTTAGCTTGCTAAAAAAAATCATATTAACCGACCTGATAAATGGGCCTGGACAGTCTGCCAGGTGGCAAAACTCTAGCTCATTTGGCTGCTGAAATGGATACCTGGGTGTAGGAGGAAGCTGGGGACTCCCTTCCTGGGGCTAGGGAAGCTTGAGCCTACATGAGATGTAGTGTGATTGATCTCTGTAGAGGAGGGTGCCAACTGGAGTGTGTATAAATGGTTCCTTCTGGAGTCTCCTTAAAAGCTAATTTGATGGCAATGTCTGAAAAGAGCAGTTCAGACCTTTGTTCCCGAATGGTAAAGAAAACCTTGATTTCAGTCACTGCTGGAATAAAGAAGAGTATAAAAAAGGTTAAAAAACCAACAATAGCACACACACATGTAGTGATGGATTCATAGTTAAGAGGATGTTCCCCATCTACCAAATAAGGAGGTAATTGTAGGGAAAACTTTTTGTTACATTCTAGAAACCCATCTGCGTCGTGTTTCTTTTTATTATTATTGTATAAACTAATTACATTAGGGGAAAGGGATATTTAATTAAAAGTCTGTTTTGCAGAGTTGCAAATAATTGGTTGCCAAATTTTTTAAGTAAACAATATTTCTGAAACGTTGCTGGAAAAGTATTTGTACGGAGCATATTTTCAGGAAAATGTCTGTGCTCTTATTAAATCTAATAGATGTTTTATTGTATTTCTCTCTCAACACCGAGTTAATATGAAACAGGCCTATATATAAGACATGTCAACTGCTTTGAAACATTTTTCTCCTAAACAAAGAAAAAGACGATCTTATAAATCTTATAGAGTATATATAAGAAGGTATATTTGTTTACATATGGTAAATTTGGGTAAGACTATCTTGTCAGAAAAAATACCATGTTCCTTAGTCATAAGTTGCAAAGAGAAGGATATTTGAGTTAGGTGGGGTGACAGATAATGATGCACAGAGGAAACACATAGCTAATTTTGTAACAATAGATTTTTAAGGTTTATACTGATTTTCCTTTGGAGGAAATCTCCATCCTACTTGAGGGTGGAGTAACAAGGTTGTGGGTGGGATAATTGGTGCACAATATATGTTTGTGTGAATTGACCTTGGTAACATGAACAATGGACTTATAAAAAATATGAAATAATCTAATTGACGTGGTGTTCCCTGAGGAAGACTTTTCGACTCCTAACATTCATTAGTTGGCTACAACTAGCATGCCTACATTTGGTGTCCTTGTTCAGCTTGTGTTTAGGCTATACTTATATATTTAGGAATAATATATATATATATATACACACACACACACACATACATACACACATGTATGCAGCATCAATTAACAAAAAAAATAAAGAGTATATGAATTTGAAAGACCCAAAAGGGGGTAAAGGGAGGATTTGGAGGGAAGAAAAGAAAAGAAAGAAGGAAATTATTTGATTTTATTATCATTTCAAAAACTACCTAAAAATAAAAAGATAAGCTAAAATAAAAATTTATCCCATCAAATATATTAGTGGAATGCTATCAAATATTTCATATACGATAAGTAGGAAAATATTGATTCTCTTGATGTCTTAAATGCATTAAAATTACTTTGTTAGTCCTCTTTTTTTTTATCCAAGATACAAAAATTTAGAGAGGGATTTCCCTAAAATATTAGGGAAAGGAGAAAGCAAGGGAAGAGAGTAGATATGGAAGGATAGAAATTATATCGTGTGATAGAGCAATGGAAGAGTGATAATCCATAAGCGAACTCTAGCCACCTGTTGGAGAAGGTGACAGAAAACAAGAATATAAACCATGATTCCACTTGACTTTCCAACTGCTCTCCAGATTCTATCTTTCTTATGGAAATACTGGGAGGTTTTATTCAAATACTTAAGGGTGAACAGCCAATGGAAATGACATTTGTGTAGAAATGCTTCCCTCACCTCTATTAATTACAGCTAAAGACTAGATTAAAATGATTATTGCATTGATTATATTTATCTACAAAACAGTGTCTTCCATAAAGAAGTATTGCACAGAACTCAGGTCAAAAAATAATTGAAGACAACATTTCACTCAAATTCTCATGTAATAGAGGGCTGCTCCTATTAGTAACAGTGATTTATATTTCTCCCTCTTCAATATCATCCCTCAGGGAAGCTGGCAAACTGAAGCCTGTTCCATTAATACCAGCGGGGATATATATGTGTGAAGAGAACAAGCAAACATTTATTGTACCTGATGGCTCAATGAACTATCCACATGAGCTTTTAAAAGACTTGAAAATACTTGGCAGACATTATATTTGGAGGAGCTCTGCAAAAACCACTTTTCTAAAATCGTCTATTTCTAAGTCAGTTGAACTTTTTCAATCCAAACTGTTAAGTTAATCTGTAACTTGATAGCTCCATTTTTCCTTTGTTAACATGGGAATCTCCCAAAATGGTCTTTAAAGTTTTGAGATTAGGTTTATTGAAGGGCAATTTTAACAAGTTCTTTTTGTGTTTTATATGTTAATCCATAGCCAGTGTTATTAGCACTCAGAGTCAGGCACAAAGCATACCGATCATTGACTGCTGAACTCAGAACCAAACCCAACTCCCAAGCTAGAGTAGACTTTGGATTTAATTGTAAAATAATCTTTTAAAATAAATGGGCTGAATAACTATCTTATTTTTATGCAGTCAACATTTTGTATAAGATTTGTTTGCATTCATGTACTACATGCTGAGTTGACATTTAGTTTTGAAAAATCTAGGCTCAATTTAAATGAGTGATTCTTAGAAACTTTTGCTTTATTATCCCTTTACTATTTTAGTAGTTGTGTCTCCAACAGCATTTATAACATTGCTATATTATGGTACTACATCTATAATGAAAATAAAAAAAATATTTTATAATATTTACAATTAGTTAAAATAGCAGTTTGTGGTTTTGTTCTCATGATCTGACAGGCTCTTTGAATACACGATAGATTTTTTAGTTGAGAATTTTGTCTCCATTTCTGTTACCAAACAAATTAGGCAACATGCAAATGTACATAGAGAAAGGAGAGAAAAGAGGGTACACTAGTTGTTTTAAAATCTCTTTACTATCATGGTAATAATTTTCATCAAAGCAATTGTTGAGAAAAACTAAAAAGACCTTATGTGAAAGAAACATACAGGTGTTTCTACAGATGTAAGAATGAAGAGTGGGAAGAGACAGGACATTTTTCGACTTGATCTAAATCACAAAGAATTCAGTGACATATTTTAAGTAAGGGCTCTTTTCTGAGTGACAGGGTTCTGTGTATCAAATGTTAAAAGGGTTTCGGCACTTGAAAATTATTTATATCAATAAACTACAATAGTATTTAAAATAATGTATGATCTACTAAGATAAATTAGTGATTTGATATATTTTGAACCATAATTGAAAGATGTTTGTCTAGAGAGTGCACATTTCTTAATATCTGAAGTTATATATATTATACTAGTATATTGACTTGACAAAGTTGTACAAAATTCAGGACACTGAGGCAGGAAGCTCACTGAGAATTCATGGTCACCTTATTCTACATAGTAAGTTTTATGCCCTATTAGTTGAAATAGTAAATCACTGTTTAAAAGAAAAAAAAATAGACAAAAATAAAGGAATTCCAACGCTAGTCCCCTGACCTGCACCAAAGCACCTACATGTGACCAAGATAATTATACGTCAAATTTACATTTCATTATTCTGTGACCTGCTCTTGATTTGCTTCTGCTTTTTTCCCCTTTTGTATTAAAGGTCTCATTCGCTTGCAAGAGCTCATCAAAGCTCCATCAAGGTACAATCTAAGACTTAAAATCCGTCAGCTGCCAGCTGATACAAGGGATGCAAAGCCTTTGCTGAAAGAAATGAAAAGAGGCAAAGAGTTCCATGTAATCTTCGACTGCAGTCATGAAATGGCAGCGGGCATTTTAAAGCAGGTAAATTTTAAGTTACTTAAATTCTTAGTTTTATATAAAATTTTCTTTATGCTATGTTCTAAAGGTAAGACTTAGTGTTACATCATTAAGAAGTCAGAGAATGCATCTGAGTGTGATTTTTTTTTTATAGAAAAGCAATTTATTCCATTATAAGCACTTACACAGTTAGTCATGGAGAGTAGTAACAGGCCTGATGGTGAGACAGGTCAACCAAAATGGATATGGCTTCAAACTATAGTGGTCAAGGACTAACTTCTAAAAAAGCAACTCTTATCAAGGATTAATTTAATTTTAAAAACAAATACAAACTAGCAATTCACTTTTTCTCAACTTGACAGTTCACCAGTGGTCTGACTGTCGGTTAAAAACATACATCTCACAAACAGAAAATCTGACAATTACTTTTAGTTAATTTATTTTAGGGAAAATGTAAACTCAATATTGAAAATCTTTAAAACACTGCAATTTTGAGAGGAATTTCAATTGTCTGTTGATTATTGTGAGAGTTTACTAATTTACTCAAACCACCATATTGCACAATATTTTATAACATTAAAAGACAAAAGCAAAGATTTGAGTTCAAAACCATATTTTATGGATCAAAAAGTGCACAAAGTTTTGCATCTAGTCTCCAGCAGCAGCCCTCCCGCCCCCATTTACAGAGAGACTACTCTAGATTGCAGTTACAATTATATAATGTTCACATAATGGTAGCTTACTGAAAAAACAAAAGGATTTTGAAATTTTCTTTTATTAAGGCAAGACTTTATTGTGGAATGACTACTGAGAACATCATTTGGTTAAATGCTAATTTCTCTGCACTTTCCTTGCTAGTAGTATGTGCTGTTCAAGTCGCACAGTCTCTCCAAGATTAGACTGGGATAGCTCAGCTTCCTTTGGCTGTAAGGATGATGAAAAAGAACACATATGTAAAGCATGAGTTACTAGACACAGGCTGAATCTGTGCTTTAAGTCTTTAAGTGTAGGATAAAATACTTGTGGAGCACTGTTAAGATTCGCATATTTTATTGGATATTTTTCTAGCTTTCTATGCAGGTGATAAAGTATATGAGGGATTATGCTTGGCTTTGGTTTTTGTTTTGTTTCAGTATGAACGTAATGATGGAAAAAACACTAAAGCAGAAGTGAAGCTTTTCACATTTTCTGAACAACACTTGATTTGAAGAAGTGGTCTTCTCTTTACTCTGACAGACAACTAGCTTATACCTCTTCTCTGGGCTTCTAACAAGCAATAGATGAGATTTTTCTTTTAAGATCTAACTGATTTGTGCTTATGTCTGGAAGATGAGAAAACCTCCAATAACAGAGAGTTTTCTACCTTCTATTAGATGTATCCATTATATTATAATGTTCCTTAGATAAGCCCTGCTCTGTTTGAATATGAAGACGAATCCCAAATAATATTTAATATTTAAATATACTCAGTAGGGAAATTGTTAACATTAGATTGGCCTGTGTGACATTTTCTTGATTTCTGATTGATGGGAGCAGGGCCCAGCCAATTGTGGATGGTGTCATTCCTAGGCAGATGGTCCTGGGTTGTATAAGAAAGCTAGCTGTGTGTAAGCCAAGGATTACAGTAAGGATTGTTTCTCTGTGTTCTCTGCTTCAATTCCTGCCTCCAGTTCCTGCCCTCAGTGATGGAATGGGACTTTAGAATGGTGACTCCCAACCTTCTTAATGCCAAAACACTTTAATACAATTCCTCATGTTGTGCTGACCTGCAACCATTCAATTAGTTTTGTTGCTATTTCAGAATTATGATTTTGTTACTGTTATGAATCATAATGTAAATATCTGTGTTTTCCAGGGGTCTTTGTTGACCCCTGTGAAAGTATCATTCAATCCCTTGGAGTCACAATCCACTGTTCAAAATCAAAAAGAAAGAAATAGACTCTTTCTTCCCCCACATTCTGTCCAGTCATGGTGCTTATCACAATAATGGAAATTAAACTAAGACGAGGCTGTAGTGTGATGTGACGTATGTGTGTTTCTGAGATTATGCACCATTGGCTGGTGGAGGACTACCAGAGACATCTGTTTAGGGCTGAACAGCACAAGTAGATGAACTTTCAGAAGTGCTCCATCCAAAAGATGATAGGAAGAAACAGAAAATAATGGCCTTAGCTCAACCTTGTTCTTTTATAATAAAAACAAACAAAAAACCATAAATTAAACATTTGTTCAAACTAACTGTATTTTTTTTTTTTTTTGCCTGAAAGCTCTGAAAGAGAGTGAAGCCCAGGATTGACTAGGTATCCTTAGAGGCAAGTTTCATACATTAATCGACAGTAATTCTTAAGCAGCAGATAATTCCACCTCAATTCAGATTTCTGACAGAGAATTCCCTAGAGCAAAGCCAAGATGCTTAGAAGTAAAACCTCAGGAGGACATTCTATCACACAGGGCAATCATAACCAAGGACTTCAAAGTTGAGATCAGAGAATGTGAAATAAAATAATAAAAAAAACCTTCATTTTGGAAGAAATGTAAAAGCTAATGCAAATACACCCACAGCAACAAGTTATAAGTAAATGTAATATTTGATATTTGTATTTTCCCTCTGTCCTTCACTTTTGTTTAGTGAGAACAATCCTATTGCTGAATCTAGCAGGAAGAATAGAATGCTTACACAGCACGTACCTGCATGACAAAACTGCTAGCTTCATGCTGCAGCTTCCTAAGAGTTTATCTGAAACAAATTCATTTGTGGTCTTCATGAAAATATGATGTATGCCACGATGTACTTCCTTTGAGGCTTCCTCAGTAATATCATTCTCAAGAAGGTGCAAATATTTTTCCTTTTTGTGGTTTAAGGTTTGGAAAGACACCTTGGTTTGTAGTTAAGGGGAGATACAGAGCCATTGACTATGAAGCTAATCTTGGTGGTAATAACCCTCTTGTTTCTGAGGTTACCAAATGAATACTAACATCTTTAGATCAAATATTATAGTTTATAATTTATTCTTAGTTTCAAAATCAAAGTTTTAAAAAATGTCAAATATAGCCATAAACCAACCCACTCTTTATTATTGACTATTTTTCAAGGTAATAAAGAAGAAGCCTATGGCAGTTTACCCCACCCCCTTACCATGGTTCCGCTCTTATCCCCTGTTTCACAAGCTGGCCTGAATGGCTAGGAGTTACAAATTATCAATGAAATGGGAATATTTTTTAGAATTCACATATTTTTAGAAAGGAGTCAACATCTTTTAGAATATATAATATACACTTTTATAAAATATCATGGATGAATATGTAGGAAAAAATCCAAATTGAACACCATTAGATTGTGGTGGTTAAATTGGAGTTGGGAGGCATAATTAATGGAGAACCCATGATTCCAGGATATGTCTCCTGAAACATTATTGTGCTTCAGATTTAAGCTGGCTTTAGACAGAGCCAAGTTGCTATTTTTCAAACTTTTTTTTTCTTTTTTTGAGACAGGGTTTCTCTATAGTTTTGGAGCCTGTCCTGGAACTAGCTCTTGTAGTCCAGGCTGGCCTTGACCTCACAGAGATCCACTTGCCTCTGCCTCCCTAAGATTAGGATTAAAGGCATGCATCACCACTTCCCCGTGGCAAACATTTTTTTTTTTTTAAATCAAGGTGACAAACCTGTAGCCCATATAGAGAATGGGAATACAACCGACTTTGTCTTGTAAAGTCACATTCCCTTCTGACAGCAACTGTCACAGTTTTCAGACCAGAGAAGTGATAGTCATTCCCCTTATAGGTTTAACCTATAAATATACCTGTTGTAGTATGAAAAGCTCTGTGAATTTAGCAGAGACAGTTCTCACACATTCTCCTGGTTTTTGTTGACTTGAGTAACTTTGTTTTCACATTTAGTGTCTCCACCTGTCTTTTAGTCAGGTCTAGACTCCAAATACTAGAGATAGAGCCATCGTTACTCTGTTGGGCATTTTATTTAACTTTGTTATGTGCTAGTTTTCTTTCCGTGCATATGATAGTTGAATCTACATTATGAAGTTTTGATAGTTTAAATATTCAATATATTTAATTTAAATTTTTATATACTTTAGTAATATCAGTGATATTTGTACAACTTATTCTTTATCTGTCTCTGCACATTTTGAGCTAATGTTTTTAGAAACAATGGTAATATTAAGCTGCCATTGATTGATTGTAGATAAGAAGACTGCTGTACATTTTTTTTGGCAACCGACATTCTCTACTGTAACAGATAATGTAAATGTTTAATGAGGAAAATATCCCTTTAGCTTGCTAGGGTAACTTAACCAGAAGTTATAGGGTTATAGAAATGTTACTAATTCAAGAAATAGAAATCAGTGATTTTTCCCTGTTTATTTTTCTGTGTTTAAATCTTTAGTTTGCCAAGTAGTATTTTATGTGTTCTATTTTAGAAGTGACTGACTAACGTGGATAAGAATAATGGCTAATAATGGAGACTATTCCCTTTATACTGAATGACATTTGTTAAAATTTACAAAATTTAGTCTACTTAATTGCGAATGCCAACCTATGTCTATGAAGCTTTCCTGTTCGTTGCCCACAGGTAGTAGCTGAGAAGGCTACTTCGCAAATGATTTTTGAATAGTTAGAAGTGTTTAGGAGACTATCAGATAAGAATACTTTCTTCCAGCTAGGAGTTCTTCCTTTAGAAAAAAAAAAAAAAAAAGGAAAGGGTTTTCAGTTTCACTGTCAGCTATTCATCTATTCATTTCCCTTACTTTTTTAGAAGTGAAAAAGACAGGCATAATTCTCATCAGTGCAAATTTCAATACAAAAGGAACTTGACCTAAAACCATTGTCAGTCAGAATCTGTTAAGAAATGTAGAAAAGGGAAACAAAAACAAATCGTAAATTTTATCTGATCTTTGAAAAAAGTCAAAATATTCAATTAATTATCCATATTTTTAACAAGTTCTGATTTACATTGCCTTTCTTAATGTTCCAATTAGTCCTAAGGTGCAGAGAAAGAGTACTACTACTTTACCTTGTTCTTTGTAGCTCTTCCTGATAATTTCTCAACAACAACAACAAAAAAACTAATCAAATAAAAGAATGTCTCACTAGGATATATCTAGTGTGTGTACTATATGTAAACCCAAGGAAGAAATGTGCTAATATCAAGTTTTACATCAATTTTAATGTTTTTAAACTATATATCAAGCTTTACATAAACTTTACTGCTGTTAAACTTTAATGCTATCAATTTTACCACTGCAAACATTCAAGCAATAGCTTTACTGTCAGAAGAATAGGTTCAAAAATTCCTTTTAAAAATAATTGTTTTCTTACTACTGGGAAAATTAAGTATGATCCAATTTTATATACCATGAGTAATGGAAGTTAACTATATATCAATTGTATATTTTGTCATTACCTGCCATACTGAAATAATATATTTCACATTATATATACCCTCAATGCTAATCTTTTTGTTTCTTTTACTTTTTTACCTCTTAGGCATTAGCTATGGGAATGATGACAGAATATTATCATTATATATTTACCACTCTGGTAAGTAAGTTATTAAAACATAAAAATAATGCTGTAGATTTTATTATTATGACTATTAAGAGGGTGGAAAATGTCGTTTTTGAGTGAGAAGTAATGAACAACACATTTATACTTTATACTTTATATTATTTTAATATAACTCGGAAGGAATCATGAGACAGAACTAATAGCTCTTGGGGGAAGCTGATGGCTTTGAATAATATCATTTCAGTTATCAATTGAAAGTGTAGTGTGTCTAATTATGTGGCTCCAGAGCCTTTAAGGGCATAGTAGGTGTTAAAATTATCTTACCCCCCAAAAAAACCCCAGTGTATTAGACAACCACAATGTCTTATGCTATTATCTTTGCTCTTTATTGTCTGTTTGATGGCCTGATTTGGGTGTGTTTTTGATATCAAGCCTTTTGATAATTGCCCTCTCAGTTGACTAAATTGTCCATATTTGGTAACATTTTAGGTCAATATGATTAAACTTGCAATAAACAATTGGCATATTACTTTTACATTTTGTCCTGAAATACCCATGACATTTTCTTTATTATGCAGGAAAAATTGTCTTTACTATTTTATAAATGGTTCTTGCAATCCTGCCTGCTTCCTGTGATGTTAGGATTATATGTGTGCATACCAAGGCCATGTTCACTTATTTCTTTCTCCATTTAGCTGACAGTTCTGATTTCTTCTGAGAAGTAGCTTTCCATCTCTTTCACTAGACCTTTCTTTCCCATATCCAGCCTGTATCCTATTATCCTTTACCTGTAGATTGTCATATCTTGAGTGATCAATTACCACATTTGCTTAAAGAATGACTAGAGGCATCTGTACAGTTTTCATGGTCATTACAGTTTAATTCTAAATATTGTGGTATTGTTATAAATTGAAAACATCTAAATATCAATTCATTATTTTCCAAATCAATTCTTCTTTGATTTTATTCAAATTTTCAAGTATTATTGATTCTTATATAATCCACATAATTCTACTCATTTGTTCTTTTCTCTATAGCTTCTATAGCCTTTTTTTTTCTATTCCATTTAGGAACAGTTCAGTCAGTGTTCTTGCTATTTATTTTTAAATGTTGAAATTATTTTCCTTGCTTTTGCAGTTCGTAAGATCCAGTTGTTTTCAATAACTTTCTGAGAGATGATGATTCCTCCAGGAGTATTTATTGCACAGCTGGATGTTTGCTATATATAAACACGAAGACTGGCTCTGCTATGTTGCTGAATCACCTCTTCCTTGATGATTTTTACAGTTTATAAGAAACTTGGTAATAGGAAGGAGAAGATGGAATGGCTCTTTCCTTTTCACATGGGTCCACATAATGCTATTGCAACTTGATTCAATATAAAATATCATTATCTTATAGTTAAGAAAAGAGTACATTTATTTTAGGATAGTTATAACAAATTTGTCTGCAAATAAAGGTTTATACTTTTGTAATTATAAACCAAATTTCCCATTTTCTTTGCTTTGATTCTCCTTTGCAATCAAATTGATTTCAATCAATCTTGTATGAGATCATGCTTTATATTTTCTCCTTCATATTTCTACTCATATTTTCAGTGCCATTGACCTTATCAATATTCTGATCATTCTTTAAAGCAGGTGTATGTGGGTGGATGGGGATGGATTTCCTCATCTTACAAAGTACATGGTTGGGACCCATCTGAGCAGAAGATAGGGCAACAGGGAAAAATATACATATATTTATTGTGTGTCTGTTGCCGTGTGTCTGTTGCTGCTGGCATGGAGTGAACTCTTAGTTGATATGCTGTGGTTTGATGAAGAGTCAATAGCTGTTTGTAAATATGACTGGATAAAACTACAGTATCATCTAGCAATAGTAAATTAGGTGAAATAAAGTAAAATCTGTTTATTCAGCTTCTCCTAGAACTGAGGAACTTTCAAATATTGTTCAACAGTCTTCTAGAATGAAAGACTTCTCTCTACATTTTTTGTTCTGATTAAATTTGTTCTTTGAAAAATTAACAAGTGTTTATAGCATGTTCCCTTTATTTTCAACAAATCCTTCTCTTATTTCCTCCCTACCTCTGTAGTGTCCTGTCCTATTCTGTGCAGGTTATTTTTTCCATGTTTGTGTCTTTTTGCTTTGTTTTGAGGACCATAGATTTTAATGAGGACCATTTGAATGTTAGTGAGGGGAACTCCCCGTTGGGGCCTGGGTAGCTCACTGTTTGGTACCCAATTAAAAACGATAACATCCATCCCTTAAAATCCATCATAACCAATCGATCAACATGAAGGATAAGACCTACTATTCTATGTTTATGATTGATTGCTGACAGCTTGCATCTTATTCAGGCCCTTGAATCTTATGTTGCTCCAATTTAGGCAACTACAGTTGTTTACGTCATGTTTGCAATGATCATGCCATGCCTTGAAGGTAACCTTTTCACAACCCTTTGTGAAAATTTTCACATTCTATTTGTTCTGCTTTTGCTTCTTTTATGTCCAATGAGACTTAGAGAAGGTGGTATAAGTGTCCTGTTTTAGCACTAACCACTCAGCAATCACTTAATCTAAGTGTCTTAGCAGCCATGAGTTTCTGCATTCTGCACTGTTCACTGCTCACTACTCCAACAGGGAGATAGTGTGTTAGAGACGAAAGAGGCTCTCATAACCTATTTTTAAAGGATGTAGACTAAAAGAATCCTTTTATGGCCCCACTCTGGGAGAGAAAGTTGAGAGAAGGTCAGAGAGTAACCTTTTTGCTTCTTCTATACATTTCTTTTTCCTTCATCTTAAAATACTCAGGACGCTAAGCCTCATATTTTGTGTAAAGTGGTTTGAACCACATTACAACTCAGATTCTGTTTGCTATTTGAAATGTCACTCACGATAAAAATCACCAAGGGGCTTGTTTGTTTTTAAGTTCAAATTTGCTTATCATTTTAAGCATTTTTCCTTCTTTGTATATATCACTATACATTAATTACTTACATTTTGAGTAAAGTATATCTTATCTCTTTTGAAAGATCATGTAAATTGAATACTAAAATTGTAAAGATTCCTCTGCAGCAAAGTGTACAATGCCAGTTGCTTTCCTCTGGATTTTATGCCTGTCCCCTAGAAGGTATGGCAGTGTTAGTAGGAAACAAGATGCACACAGGATCAGTGACATTCATGTGCCTTGGGATTTCACTTTATCTAGAACGAGCTAAAACTTTCCTCATGGTAGTTAGAAAGTGGATGGAAGTCTCAGATACTGTGCATCTATATGATGATATCCAACTTCATTGGTAGCTTGGGCCTCATATTTCCCAGGAAAACTAACAGGCAGAACAAGAATTTTCATGGTATACAGATCTTAGAGGTCAACAGAAACAATGTTTATTATGGTGGGTCTTAAGATGGGTCATGTAACAAAGGATGTGCAAATTTCCTAAAACTAACAATATTCATAATGTTAACATTTTCCCTCATCTTTTATGGAGCTATTATTTATTAGAGCATTATTTCAGAACTGGCTTCTCAAAAAAAGTAAAGCAAAAGAAACATAGAAACACAGGCACAACAAAACTAAAATGTGACTAGTTGGTTAAAAAGTAGGACAAAGAAAAAATACCCTTGTTAGTTTAAAGAAAAGTGCCATTGCATAAATTATGAGATCAAGTTATCCTTTAACAAAAAGATTATAGAAATGTTACATGTATGTTATTCTGTTGTTTAAATAATATTGTAACCAATAGATTTGTGTTCATGTGCAAAGTATGCTTGATATCACTTGAGATAAACTGCTATTAGTTTCTAAGGAAATTATGAAGTAATAATTTCAGTACTGTAAGCTCATGAATTAAATCTACTATTGGTAACACAGAAACTTTCTGTTTCAGGACCTCTTTGCTCTTGATGTGGAGCCCTACAGATACAGTGGCGTAAATATGACAGGGTTCAGAATACTAAATACAGAGAATACACAAGTCTCCTCCATCATTGAAAAGTGGTCTATGGAACGGTTGCAGGCACCCCCAAAACCTGACTCGGGTTTGCTGGATGGATTCATGACGGTATGGATACCTATTTAAAAATCAACTTTTGTGTTTTTAAGTAGTATTGCATAACTCATTAAATCCCCTGGGTACAAACAGTAGTTTGATGTTTTGACATAAAAATAATATCAGAGTTATGATTGCCTTTAGCTCTACATTGTTTCTGCTTTAAAGGTGGTGTGACATAGGAGAATGGAGGTCATAAATGAGGCATCTTAAAGTTTCATGCAATAGCCAATATTATTCAGCTAATCAGACAATTTGTACTCTGGGGGTTAAGAATTATCATAAGATAATCCTAACAGTCTATATGAATTATAAAATAAGATAGGTTAGTGTGTGAATGTGTATGAAGAGTGAACAAAGGGTGTGTGGGGGATTTAACCAGATATTGTACTTTCTGTAGTAATGGGAGCATAATAGAATGGAAATATGAAATTAAAGCAATTTCTATTGCTGAAAATAATCCTACAACATAAGCAGAATCTGAAACAACATTTAAGCAGTTATGAACTAACAGTAATAAATGAATCAAAATAGCCAGTTCCACCCATTGGACTGAATAAAAGAAGTATTAATATAGTGATAAATATCTGAACCATTAATTTTTCTTATACTCTTAGAAAAGCTACCAACAAAATATGTATCTGTCTGTGTAATGGGAGAAGGTTGGATAAATTTTGTAATCACAAATTCAGTTATTATGAGAAAATACATCTGGAAAATAATTTCCTATCTTTCCATGGTAAACTGAAAATGAAAATTTAATTCATAGTCCTGGAATACTTTTAAAACTATTGTTAGTTCAAAGAAATATAATACAGCATGGGATCAAATTTATATAATTGTTGACATCTGGTCTTCCCTTGATTTACGAATTGAGCAAGAAAAGTAAGCAAAGAAATTAGTGTTTTATTGCCCTTGAGGTTTAAATAAATTCATGCAAAAGGCTTATCTCCTTTGGATATAACACCTGTAGGAGACAATTTAGTGGGGAAATATGTAATTGTAAAGGAAATGAAGTATACACAGGATCCACAACTGCCTTATTTAGTCTGGGTTCACATAGCAGTAGTTCTTCCTTTACCTCTCAACTTTGTGAGGACTATATAACACCATCTCATCTTCCACACTTTTAAGTAGATTGTTAGTACACAACTAGGTATTGCTAAAATGGGACATGGCCAGTTAACGTTCCCTAGTAATTTCTAAATGTCATTAAGTGTTTCAAAATTGCCTCATCTAATTTACATATTTTGGGGATATGGGTTGTCATCCTAGTAAGTAGCTGTCCCAAAGATGCTTCTCATCTTTGTACTCTTTCAGGTGCAATGATAAGCCCATTTTTATGTAGCATAGCTTTAGTCTTATATGGAAATAAGATATGTGGAATATTGCTCTTCTTCTTTGGAGGTGAGATAGTTCATATAATGAATAATATAAGCCCAAGGGACGGCCTGCCTCACAGGCTCTAACACTTTTCCCACATAGTATTGACACATAATGGGGGAGTGTTTTTTGCCTTGAGGTGGTATGGTCCTTTGATATCAAAGCTGAGGTTATTTATGATTTAGTAAGGGAACAGAAGAGGCAAAATGCTCTTTCTCTTCTAAATGAATGTGTATAGTATAAAAGCAATCTATCAAATACAAAATTATTAAAGGCTAATCTTTAGGAATAGCTTTGGGCATAGGTAAATCAGGCTGTAAAGCTTCCATTGGCCACATGGTGGCATTAACATTCTGTAAGTCAATCAACAATCTCCTTTTACCAGATTTCTTTTGAATTACAAAAGCAGGAGAATTTCAGGGAGAAAAAGAGGGGGTTTTGTGCCCATTCGCCAATCATTCTCTGACTAACTGCTAACTGATGAAGAGCGTGGAGCTTTTCTTTAGAAAGGAGGTCATTGAGGTGTCCAGACAGGCTCACTAGATTTCTTTGTAATTTGTGCAGGTGGCATGAAAAACCCAATCCATGTCAATCCACGTTTATGATTTGTCTTTGTGGGGATATAGGTTCAACAATCCCTTGCAATGCTTCCTCATCTGTTCCCTTTTTGATATCCCATTCTTTTCTTAGCCAATGTGCTTGTGAAGAATAACATTAGAAGTGAGAATGTTTCACTTTGTTTCCTTTTAGCTCATAGGACCAAAGTTGGGTCAAATTTAACTTCAAAATGGACCATTCTTCAATGGTTATAAGAGACATATTAGCTCCAGAAACAATTAATCCTGTAGAAGTGTTTCCTTTTACTTTTCAATCCAATACTGGTTAACCACTTTTCTTCAGTAAAGTTCTTAAAGCTGCAACTATATCTTCCTCCCTCACAAAGCATAGCTTTTTTTAAATGAAGGTATTACATAAGATATTCATAAAAATTGTTCAATATTTTCACCTTCTTTAAATTTTCAGTCAGTGGGCACTGTGATCATGACTGTAATTTTTCCTATACTATCTTCATTAATGATTCCAGTGTTAACTATGCTTCCTTTATGGGATTCAATAAAAGTCAAACTGTTCCAGGAAGGTTAGGTCTCCAATACCCTGTGTCTAACACTGAGGAACTGAGGAGGCAATACCTTTAGGGCAAGGAATATCAACAGCAGCACTTCTTTGAGTAGCAGCTTAAAACAAGAGGATAGATTTACAATCTGAAGCTGGCACAAATGTTTTTGTTCTTGGGTTTAAACCCTCTAATTTTACAGAAACTGAGTGGTGCCCTCAATCCATTGTCTTGTTGTTGATTTGTATTGTTATTGTTGCTAGGCAATGCACTGCCCCTTCTTAGCATATTTAGATTGGCATTTCTTAGCCAAGGGTTTCTCTTTCTTTCCTTTAGGATTTAAGCCAGGAGCTCATTGATTCTGAATATTCATTTGTTGTAAGAACAATTTACATTGTTTCTTTAAGTGGCCAGGTGGGCCACAATTGAAAGATTTTGCTGACATCTGTCTTTGAACAGCATAGGATTCTAAAGCAGCTAATTTTACTCTATGTATTTATGTCCCTATATTTCTAACTTCAGAAAGTTCACATTTCCTGTCTCTCTGACGTCTTACTACTCCTTAACAATCTTCATTTATGTTATCAAAGTCAGGTGTTTTAACAATAACTCTTGAGTTTGTTCCCTTTTTACATTTTTATCAAAGGCATATTTAAGTATCCTCATGAAATCAGTGTAAAGTTAAGAGGGACCTTGTATATTATTAATATAAGTATACCACAAGTCAGATACCACAACAGTTTTCATCCAAGTAGATGTAGCTACATCCCTAATGGGAAAGGCTGCAGGAGGTATGTTATGTAAGGTATGTTAGGTAGTCTAGTGATGCCCATCTACCAGTGGGCACTTCACATGTGACATATCCAGTGTCACCTTCAGTCCTATTTGGTGAACTTTTCCATAGGCTTCATCTGAAAACCACATTTAGCATTAAAGAAATTAGAAAAGGCTAGGAACCATTTTAGCAAGGATTTGAAAATAATGTGGCTACCACTGTGCATAATTGCTCCAGTCCAAATGATGCTCATAACAACATGGAGCAGTAGGTCTTGGAAAAGCAGAAAGAAGCTGTTTAAAATATCTCTCATTATATACATGTCTAATCCCTGACAGAAACTTTGATTTTGTTGAAATTGCATAAGAATTATTAAGTACAGCTCATGAGGCCAGGGAGGAATTGCTAAATGAATTCATTTTCCCTGCCTTGTCTAAACATGTCTAAAATGTAGCAAACAACATTTTCATAGGGCCTCATAAATACTCATTGGGAAGTAGATGGAGTTCAAGATTAGATTAAATATCATATACTTCATCCCATGAAACAACCTAGATGCCCTTCAATTGAAGAATGGATGAAGAAAGTATGGAATATATACATATTAGAGTACTACTCAGCAGTAAAAAAACAAGGACTTCTTGAAGTCTGCAGACAAATGGATGGAAATAGAAAACACCATCCTGAGTGAGGTAAGCCAGACCTAAAAAGAGGAACATGGGATGTACTCACTCATATTTGGCTTCAGGATCATCTTTAGTCAATGGCAAATATATATCTAAGGGTGGCTCCAGTAGGGGAGCTAAGGAAGTCATCATGGCATAGTTGTTGCTGGCACTGATTTTACTTTAAATTTTGCCTGACTGAGAAGAAATTTTTTTGCCATTTTTACCAATTTTAAGGTTTGATCATCCAGTTTTTATTCATTCAATGATTGGTAATTTTTTCCTAAAGATTGATATAATTCTTCTGTACCTTAAGTATCTTGATAAAACTACAAATCAATGCCCAAGTGACCCAAAATTGAAAGATCTTCCTCTTGCTTATATACCTTTTCATTATTCTTTGGGACTCTGTCCCACAGTCTTTCATCTAAAATTTGTTCTTTTGCAAGTTAGAAATCATGATCATAAATAATTTGCAAGCAATATAACAGTTGTGATTTTAATACTTGTCTTCCTCCTTTCTTTAAAAAATGATAGATAACAACCTTCCTCAAGACCCAGTATTAGCATAATGCTCAATCATATCACAAAGACATGTGCTCAACTATTTTTATAGCTGCACTGTTTCTCATAGCCAGAACCTAGAAACAATCTAAATGCCCTTGACAAAAGAATTGATAAGAAAATGTACATTTACACAATGGAGTACTACACAGCAGAGAAAAATAATGACATCTTGAATTTTGCAGGAAAATGGATAGAGCTAGAAAACATTTTGAATGAGGTTACCCAGATTCAGAAAGACAATTATCACATGTACTCACTCATGAGTTGTTTTTAAACATAAAGCAAAGAAAACCAGTCTACAAATCACAATCCCAGAGAACCTAGACAACAATGAGGACACTAAGAGAGACATAAATCGATCTAATCTACATGGGAAGTAGAAAAAGAGAAGATCTCCTGAGTAAATTGGGAGCATGGGGACCTTGGGAAAGAATTGTTGGGGAGGGGAGAGGTAGGGGATGGAGCAGAGAAAAATGTAGAGATCAATAAAAATAGTAAAAAAGGAAAA